TTATGCGTTTTTGAAGAAGTTCGAAGCACTTGGAGGCCCGAATAAGTGTGCTACAGTTTTTCAATTTCCATCCTATTGTTGTTGCGGCTCCGATTATCAGTTGTTGTGTGACACACTTTGCTTTATGATGTCGGCCATTCTGCGCCCCACTAATGTTGGCTTTTCTGATGTTGCCGAGTGCTTTTTAATACGGTTAACGTTCGCCCGGAAAACTAATAAAAGTTTGTTTTTCTTTGCCCCTCTGGGATGGAAATGGAAATGGCGATTGCGATGGCGATGTCGATAGAGCGCAAAAAACACGAACGCCATTGACAGGCCACGGCAAATAAGATTTACAAAGTTGAAAAGCCTGCAAAAGTAGTTACCTATGAATTTCCTATTATATTTGACTGACATTTCAAAATTGTGTTTTCATCTTGCTTACAAGTTTTTTTGGCACCGGAAGGAAAGACAGGAATTTAGCACAAGCACTTTTTGGTAACCGAACTTCAATTTCTTGGAGCTAAATGAAAGACAACTGGCAGTTCGTAGGCTGAAAATCCTTAACCCTTAAAACTTAATAATCAATTTAATTTTGATATGCTACTGTTTCATTTTTTCTTCTCTTTTATTTGCTTCTAAAACGATCTAAAGAATATCCAATTAAGCCCTTAACTTTTGACACCAAAAACTAAAGTAATCGCCTTTCAGAAGCTCAGAACGTCCCCTCATCATTCTCAATCCCGCCAATTTGCATTTTCCTCGTTTTTGGTGTCTCGCTCAACTAATATAAATGTATGGGCACAAGAGCGCACAGTGCGACGCAGACACGAAAGGCGAATGGAAATCAACTGGGGGCAGTCATTATGGCGGCTTTCACTTTCGCTAATGTGTTATGAGAGGCGAAAGTAGAAAGTAGAAGACGCAGCCAGCCGTTTTCCGAGGGCGCAGTTCTTTGCTCGGAGGCGTGGAGAAGTGGGCTGAGTGCCAGTTAGAGTGTGTTTAAGCAAATAGGTCGGCACACACAAACCCCCACCCCACCCCATCTCCATGCAAAGCCACTGAAACACACACACAGCCTCACTTAAACGCGCCGCAGCTTACATTGTAATCTGAAGAACGGAAAACCCACAAAAAAAGACGAAAAGTCGCACTTTCAGGCTGTCAATCTTCAAACACCCTTTCCTTCTGAAATGTCTTTAAAAAGATTGCAGAGCATTTTATAAAACAAGTATAATATTTCTAATCTAATTAATCAAATACTCAATCCATTAAATTTTGAAAATTAAAAAATAAGTGTACTTGGATATCTTCCTTTTATTTACGTAGCCAACTTGAAGAAGTGTTCTGAATACCCAATACGCTTTCGACAATCTAAGAACTTTAATGAAATTCCACAGTGGAATTCTCTTTGAAACTTTATTAAATTATCTAAAAATTAGCCTATTTTCAGCATTATATTTTAATTCTTATCAAAATAAATAATTTTTTTTTTTTAGCGTTTTGTAGTGATTTGGCTCACGTAGCATTATGAAGATTTACAGAGATAACAGAAATAAATAATTACGATAACAAAAATCATTTATGGAAACAAATTGAGGTCCAATAAAAATCATTAAACATTTTGCAAACTTCTTTCTAGGCTTATAATTAGCATATCTAAAGAGTCCACTGTACTTGTAGTTTTGAGTGGGCAATGCAAAAGTCAAAGCAAGAATTAAAGTCGAGCTTAAGGCAAAGGCAGATGAATTTTTTGGGCGAGGGACCCGAAGGGGGCTGCTTCTTCCCCTCGGATCTCCACATCCGCTGGGGATAAAAGTCATATAAGCGGGGCCCAACTCACACATATGCATGGGCATACACACTTGTATTTAATCAGATGCGCATACATACATATTTGAGTGAGCATCTCGGGTGTGTGTAGTTCCTGTGTGTGTGCGCGAGTGAATTTTTGTCGTATTTACACTTATTTCATTTCGCCCAACGCTTTGTTTACTATTTGCCTTTGGTGCGGGGAAGGGGGCACATCTTTTCTCTGACGTAAAATTTGTTTTCCCTCTGCCGGCGCTCAGGCTTTTTCTTTGGCGCCACGGAGCGTATGAGTGATTAAAAGTTTTAGCATTAAGCAAATTGCGTCTAAGCCTGGTCTTTGCCGCTTTTCTTTTTTCTTCCTTTTTTCCACTGCCTCTGGTGCCGAATCCGTGTCGATGTTATGCTAATTATATCACGCCTCAATAAACAGCTGACAAGGAAACGTGCCAGGCCAATCAACAGAGATTCGACTTCGCCAATCTGCTGTATTATTTTTGGTTTCCGGCTGCCTTTGGCGCAAGTCCTGGATTCGATTCTTGGCATTTCAAGTCGCCCATACTGCCTCCAATTATTATGCAACAAACAAATCTCATTTTTCCCCTTCGGCAGCTGTCGACTACAAGTTTCGCTTTAGCTGGCTGATAATGCCTGGGCAGCCCAAAAAGTTTTTAATCGATGAAAGTTTTCCCGAGCCAACATCTTGAGATTCGGCCACATTGATTTACGTGATTGAACTCTAACTTTAACCCAATTGACAACCACAGCTGCTCTCGTACATTTATCAAACACTTCGATGGGATTGGTCCTAATAGGTTCATACTCTTTGCTGCGCGAAATAAGTCCTAATATGTATTGATTAAAATAAAATATAGTTCCTCGTATAGGACCTAAAAGGAAAATATTCTTTATATTAATTTATTTTTGTTCTGAACGAGATAGATAAAAATAGTCCTATATACTTGTATAGAAATACATCAATGACTTTATTATCTCCTTGGTATTAACCATATTACAGAAACAACTATGTAGATTTCTTTCATAATTTACTTACGCAGACATATGCATATGTTAATAGCATGCCAATCCAAAACAGACCTACTAACTTTTATCTGATGTGTCATATAAATTTACTGATGATTCAGGGACAGGCATTCAAGTGGCATGTAATAATTATTAGGCACACGAACAGACACACACCCGAGTAAAAGGATAAATCGGAGTCCCCGAGGAAGATAAGCGGAGGCACACCCGCACACTGTGGCAAAAGCCATAAATAATAATTAAATGCGTGACTAATTACTTGTGTAATATTGCTATTATTAGGGCCGAGACAAAGCCGCAGAATATGTAGAAAACTGACAAAAGAAGGCATACCCATTGCCCATTAGGCGTAAGACGTTAGACGCTAGACATTAGACACTCCCACACTTGCAGACGGACGGGCGTAATGAGCTGGCAATATGTCGTGTTATCGCCAGAAAAGGAGTTGAAATTCCACTCCTAGAGGCGCTGAATGAGTTGTCTTGACGATGATTAAGTTGACATCGACTGTCGACTTTGCTTTGGTGCACTGAAATGGGCGAAATCGCAGATGGGAGCACAAACAACTCGTGTCGTGTTTACCTCGAGGCCTCTAATGAGCCCTGATTTATTTCATTTCCTTTCCATGTCATCAGGACTCGGCGGCAAGGACACATGGCGTCGGTGGCAGCTTATTGAGTTCGTTGCTGTCAATTTTGGATGCCATCGGCGTGAGTGACTGCAACAATTTAGCTTCTACTTCAGCGACTAATAAACCCAAAATTACTTAATTAGGAGCATTTAAATTTACTCCAAGTGTTTGTGTGCCGTAGGACTTGTGACATAAAACACACAAATGCTTTTGGTTACCTCAGATAGTATCGGTATAATTTCCATATAAAAAAGTGGTTTGAAAGGTTTGGAATATAAGTTCCTAGCCCCATTCAATATCATTTGCATGTAAAACGATCCAAACATCTTATTTCAATATAAAATTGTATTTTAAACGTAATCAACCAAATAAATGGTTATAAAACGCATATATAAAACATAGAAACAAATATGTGGAATGATAACATAAGTGTGGAAATAACCATTTTATAACATTGACAATACTACGTTATGCTACTACATACTACAAAATCAATAAACATAAGTTTCATTTAAATTATGGAATTCATCCGATCCAGCCTAGTAATATTCAGTTCGCTCTTTTTAGCTCTTCTCTCTTCTTACCTCCTAACCCTATTCGCATTTTTCTCAGTGTCTACCGGAAAAGAAATAAATAAACAAACTGTAAATTTCATAGAGAATCGAAGTTTTATGAGTTCGACATTCCACTTTTTCATTTTTTCTCGACTGGCATTCCCAATATTCATTCCTGTTTATTTGTCTAAGCGCCATTCGATGCTATGGTTTTATTTCCGGATCTGTTTACACTTGCTGGCTTGTATTTCACGTGGCGCTATATCTTCTTTATTTACTTTTTCACTGCAGCAGCTTGAGCATAAAGCTCGTTTATGGTGGCTTTTCCAACTTTTGTTTGGCGTTCTTTGGTCGCCCATTGCGAAAAATCAAAAATTTTACCGAATAAACATATTTTTTGTGTGTGCCCAATTTGATTCTGATTTATGGCTAACATGCGCTTAGCTTGTATTTGTTTATATTCGCGGGAAGATGACAAATGAATTTTAGAAATTCTAAGAACAATCAACCAAATCGAAATGGAGTCTAAGAAAGAATATATTGGCTTACATGGGAACTCCAAAGGCGCAGAAGATAGTTTCTTAAAAACAACTCCATATTTCTAGAAAAACGGCTTAGTTTAAACAGTTTTTACTTTTCAGAGCCAATTAAATTAGTACTTTTCAAATAAAGCGCTTTTAATTTTTTTCAATTCCGAAATAATAGTTTCCCCTAAATCGTAGTTTTATTTCTGGTTGTAATCCAAAGACTTCATTTGCAGTACACTTGCCAGCTGAGTAAGCATTTCTGCCTTGATTACGTGTCAAAACGCTACACTTCTAGCGCGACATCGATGAGTGGTTACGAAAATAAACAATCTGCAGGCCCAGATAGGAAGCCTTGGGACAGGGGCTGGGATGTGGGTGGGATGGGGTGGGGGTCGGAACGAATTCACTCACACTATGCATAATGTAAACAAATTGCAGGCCAATAAATGGTGACGAGCCCGAAGCTCCGACAGCAAAGACAGTTCGCCTCAGACCTCCAACGAATCCGTTTGCCAAGCTGGAATCAGCGCCATGGATAACTTCAAGTACGCGGTCGAGTTTGCCCACGATGAGAATCTGCTGAAGAGTCATGGGAATGTGGTAAGCCCAGATCCGATTAATGATATTTGAAGGTAACTCCGTTCCTTCCCCTAGTCCCACCTGTCGGAATTCCTGGCCTTGCTCACCCTAAAGTCATCCGGAGAACCCAATGAAGACTTCCATACTTTACACGATAAACTACAGCAGCTCAAACGTGAGGCGGACCTACTAGACAAGAATATTAATTCACCCGACTATTACACCAAGAAGGAGGAATTAATCTTCAAGGTCGTGTGCGAAATTAAGGGTATTGACCATGACGAGTGGCTTAGAGATGAAAAGGGATTCGTGGACGCCGTCTCACTTGGCAATTTTCTAGAGGACGAATTTATCTGCGATGGCGTTTGACAAATCACCCCTTGACTTTAAGCATATAGATCGAAGCTTTTGTTTATTTTAATAAACATATATATTTTGGAATCAATTTCTTACCTAAAACTGAAACGCTAGGACTTGCGGTTACCTGAATTAGCTGAAGAAACGCAAATCCTCAAATTAAATCAGCTCATCACTGGCTTACCTTTCTGTCGGCTTTTTCTTAAGCACTCCCTTTTTCCTTAAGCCACCAGCTCAGCCCCAGGTGCTGCACAAATTGTCCTGGTTTAGTCAACAATTAATGTTTATCTGGCAAAACATTTTAATTTAGGTTATTGCTCCAATCGCCCCACATTCGCCCTCGTTAGTTAACCCAAATTCAAATAAGAGAAGCCCAAAAAGACGACGATGTGATTGTGCATGCGGGTTGGGCCGCCTTTCATACCTTGTCCTGATATTAATTTAAACTAATGCCACAAGACAAAACACAAACAAGCACAAACACCCGGCCAAACAAAAGGAAGCAACCGAAGCATTCAAATCCGAGACGTGTAATTTGCCAGGAAAGTAGGGTAGGGAAATGGGGTGAGTGCTGGTCGGGTTGGCGGGTTTTCGGGGGTCGGGATGTGTGTCCCGACGACAAAGTGACTTAACATGTCAGCCCGCCCGTCTGATTATTCCGTTGACAGTGAGAATATTCCAGAGCAGAACGATTATTTGCTAACATCGATGGGCGGGGCTCATCAATGTCTTTGCCAAGTCAATTTAGAACTACATTGAGCGAAATTCCTCTGTCTCTTTTTAAAATAAAAATCTCAAATAACGACTATTAACGTTCCCTGGTTTCTATGCACTTTATAGACATGAACAAATAACAGTTAATTTGCTTTCAAGAATTGTTGACATGCACATACTTTGTGGACAAGAGTAAAAATAACGTTATTTTTGACGATTAAAACAAAAAATCACAGTAGTATATTTTTTAGAGTTAGTTTCTTTTTGACCATTAAACTCTAAATTCTTCGATGGGCCCATTTTTCTCTTCCGTATGTTTAACTTAAAGGAGGATTAGTAGAATCTTGAAAATGTATGGACACAAAAAAACTACGCCGCAATCAAATCTATATGCGCATGGTAAATTTATGGCATCTCGTTTTTGGGAGAAAGAAAGAGAGCAATAAGCAATATGGGGACTTAAATTACGTGAGTGGAAGAGAGAATATTCGAGCATATCAAGTCAAAATTAATACCACATAACATCAAATCGACCATCTATTTATATCAAGTTTTTGCATGTGAGTTCCGAGATTAAAGCATATTATAAACTTGACATGCGAGCGATAAAACTTGCTTTAAGGTAACAGTCTTTAATTAAGTACACATTTTTTTTTTAAAGATAATTATATTTATTTTTTTCCAAAATATTTTCCGCGGTGTATTTGGTCATGCGGGCTTAGCAACCTTTGGTGATTTGGCAGTCAAACATGATAAGGTGAAAAGTGAGTTTTTCTTCGTTGAAATTACTGTAAACTGACAGACAGACGGAAGCGGCCTTAAGATGTCTAGGAAATTAGCCACTAAATTAGATTCCCTACTTCATTACCATTAGTTAAGCTTGCATGCCTTACGCATTTCAATGAACTTGTGGCCGAAGGAATTTCCTCTTATTTAATTAAGCCACCTCTCTGGCTGCAAAGGCAGCCTGTCCCACATTCATTTCTGTAGCACATAAATTGCGATCGAATTTTAAGCAAATAAATGTAGAGCAGCATCTTAAACGTTAGGGCTCTGTGACGTTCGAAATTAATTTTCCCTTCGAACTCCTTGTGCTGGCGACCGCACTCGTCGGGTGTCTGCTGCGGATAAGCCGTGTAATTAAGCAAAATTCGCCGTCATTTGGTTAGCGATTTTAGGTGCGTGCGTGGCACTCGAGGCCCCAGCGTATTAATAACGTCAAAGTGTTGCGCATGGAAATTTATTAAGATGCCGACACCGTCAACGGCAGGCAGCCACTTCTCGTCGACCTCGTCCCCATTTTCCCGTTCCCGTTCCACGGTTTTTCCGCCCCTCCGTCAGCTGTCGCCGTCTAGTGGAAATTCAGCTCGGCTCCAACCCGTTTCCCCAAACTCAAGCGCCAACAGCTTTGGAGGCCATTGCGCCTGACGGCTTCGCGTCCATAATTTGGGTAATTTATTAACAACACGCAGTATGCGAAATATTTAAAGTTCCGCTTTTGGGAATGCTTCAGGAAAATTGGAGCTAGGAAAGGAGAAAATAGAGAAATATTTCTTGTTTTCTAAAATTTTCTTAAAGTTATCCCAGTCGAACCTAAGCCATTATTTCTGCGTTCCACCGGCAAAACAAACTGATATACATTACTCTCCATTAAAAAGCAAAGTCAATGCGAAAAAGGCTTTTTTGATATCTGTTCTGTGAAAATCTGGACGCGCCACAGATGCACGACTGTAAAATATTTTATGGCGTACATTTGGGTGCAATACAGAAAGCGATCTGAAACTCTGCTGCTGACTAGTGTCCTTCGGCCTTAACTGTTGACCAAACGGCTCTAAAACTTTTACGCCAATAAGTCACCAGGCGAACGTAAGGGGTGAGTTCGGGCAAAAAGCTCAAAAGACGGAATGATGCGAGCCATAAAACTGTCCAAAAGTCGCAGTCGAGGTTCTTTGAAGAATGGCAGGACGTGTGTGTCCTGGTGTACTTAAATAAATAAATTTCATGGCAAAGGAGCACAACAATCGCCGCGTGAAAGCAGCCCCTAAATCATACATTTAAAACTAGCCCCAACGCGCATAGTAAAAAAAATAATTATTTAATTATTTTATTACTTTAAGCCGCATTACAAATGAATAGAAAGCACGCGCCAACAATTAACAATATAAACAAAACAAAAAAACGACAATTGCACCAGTCCGCTTACATAAAAAACACAAAAGGCGAGTCAACATCCGTTTACTTACTATACTTAAGTGGGGAAACAACCAGCTAAAAGGGCATCTGGCACTGACAGAAAGAAAAGAGGGCCAATTTTATGAGGCTTAGATTTGTTAGACTTTTTGAATGCTTTGGGACTTTACATTCTTAATTAAAATCCTAAAAAATGTATTGGTAAAATGTACAAAAAAAGACTAATTTCTAATAACATTTTATGAAAATATTTTCTTTTAAAAAATCCTAAATTTATTACATTATCCCCCATAAAAGGGGATGATAGTTATAATATTTATTTAATACAAATTAAATCTTTCGCTGAGGACATGAAATATATTTTTTTGTACTAAATAATAATAATTATTTTTCCAAAGAGTATATCAATCGTAGCTCATTTTCTGCACTCTATCCAGAAGCTGCTGCAGATCTTAAGTGATTATTTCAGACTTGGCAGTGTGCTTAGCTGGTCTGTTTGTTAAATGTCACAGTTGCGCTACCAAAAGGCGTCGCCGCAATTACCCAGCCATGAACGCAAACATGAACACAAAGCCAGAGCTAGAGAGTGGGTCTGTGAGTGCTCGCATACTTTTTACCCGCACTGTACTGTGTTTGCCTATTATGCCATGGAGGAGAAGTCATCGCATGGCTCTATTTCTATTTCAGCAGCAGCTCGACAACTGCGGAGCAGGGGAATCGGGAATGGCAATACGAGCACTGAGCAACTGTGTGTGATCATAATTGTGGGCCACCGACGACTATGGCAGCGGAAATCACAAAACAAACAACAGAAGCTCTGTTCCAGGCGGTGCTCCCTCCTCTGCACTCTATATCCCTTTCATGGCAATGCCTACTTAAAACGTCAGAGCTGAAAAGTCTGCCAGCCTGTAGTTGAAAGTGTAATTGTTGTGGGCTGAGGTGGCTTAGTGTGCTCAACTGCCAGCGCTGCATTTCATTTAAATATATTTTCCATGCGGGAAATGGAAATCGAAGGATTACAAGCTAAACAATTTTAAGCCGAAATGCCAAGGAATCAATACTGAGGCGCAAAACTTTCTTGGCCAAATGCATTCCAACGAAGGGGTCGCAGTTCAAGGAAAGGGAAAGGGTTAAGTAAAAACAAAAGAACTATGCAGGCATTTGAATTTATTTTTATGGCAAAAGACCCCATAGAAACGGGTTCAGAAATTCATACGATAAATGCTAAAAGTTTTCCCATGTCGCAGCCAGAGCGGAAACGGAAGTCGCCTGGACGTCATGTGTGCGGAAAGGCCGCCTGGTTTTTGCTCAAAGCTCATAAATATCTTTAAAAGATGTGAATAAAGCCACAGTTTTATTAAAAAAGAGTTTAAGCGCAGAGAATGCGGGCAACTTAAATTCATATATTCAATTTCCCATTAACGTATGTATATTTCTTACATTTTTCACTGACACAGCCAGCTTCCCATGATTAAAAATATTTATACAATATGCGTAGGCCATAAGGCCAGAGGAACTTTTTCAATGGCTCAGATCAATCAAGGAAAAACATTTTTAAGGGCAACCCGATTTCATTACCGCATCGTCAGCAAATGCCGGCCACATATCCCGGTCCCAAGAAAATATGGGTCAACCAGATTTATTCCGAATGTATCAATTATGAGCAGCGTTCATTCAAACGAGCCTCCAGCAAATCGACCGAAAGGCAGACAAATGGGAGCGAGATGCTGACGGTTAAATTGGCCCCAGAACCACCCACCGAGATGGCCGGAAATATATATGTTCCTTACACACATATATGCACGGAAATACACATACGTCGGCTAGGCATTATAAAAGCTATTAATATATACCGACGCGGACCCCGAAGTTAGAAACCAAATCAAAATGTGAAGGCATATCAACACTTTGCCCCACAAAAGGGTGGCCGATTGCGAATCTTGACCATATCGGGGTTCTTTTAGTCAAGCCACAAACAAATTTACTGAATGGTCGAGCCATTTTATTGTTTGGCCACAATAAAACTCCAGGAAAAAGGGCGGAAAATCGTTCATTATTCATTATAAGCATTCACCCTCAGCAATAATTTTCCGCAGATACACATGGTCAAATACATAAGAACATACATCCATACGTATGTATAAATATTGTGTACGTAAAAAAGAAACTCAAGTCATTTA